GCACGTGTGCGAATGAAATTGGCCAGAGGTAGTTGTGACGAGCGCCACTCCTGGAATTGCTTGCTACGTGCCAACTTGGCTTCCAATGCTTTCACCTCAGCCAATTGACGTTTACGTGACAGAAACAGTTGTTGCCTCTCACGTCTTAATTCCTCCTTTTCACGTCGTTTGGCCTCCTCCACTCTTGCTTCAACTTCAGCCTTTTTGTCTTCCTGAAAATTAATTCCAATACGATTATTAAAAGTCAATATATTATTAGTCAGTACAAGTTAAAATTTCAAGAGAGTCGGACAATATTCCACCTAGATTTCTGCATATTTATTGAAATGTGGAATTTGACTTGGCCATTACTCTAGACCGAATAGTACGATTCAATTTTTTATCTTCAATCAATGCTTTGTTGTGTAACTTGGAGATGATTAATTTGTGGAGATGATCGCTTTTCAGTTATCAGTTTTCAGTTTTCAGCGGTTTTCAGTTATCTTTAAAAAATATTTGAAAAAGAGACGAAACGACTACATTTTTTGAAAAATTGAATGAAGAATACAGCTTATGGCACTACTCCATTGACGATTCCTCATTATAAATAAAATATTACCTTGGCTTTCAGTTTAGTTTCCTCCTGTCTAAATTTTTGTAAAGTCCCTAAAAGGGCTCCAAACATTCGTTTATTCCTCTGTTTACTTCTCTCATCGACATTCTCACGTCTAATAACATCCTGACGTGATGGGATTTCACGAGGTGTGGCAATAACACGAGACGATACAGCTGGTCTTACACTGCCATCGTCATCATCCCCAGAATCATCAGGATTCGAAGGTACTCTTGCACTTAGCCGACTGAACACAGTCTTTGGTTCATTATTTTGCACCTGCCAACGACGTTTACCTCCTGGTTCATTATTTACGTGATCTGTATTTCTTTTACGATCTTCTTGAAGTGGACGTTTCGGTGTAATTCTGAAGATGAAACATAAATGTTGTAAACTGAATAAATGAAGAAGAAATCTAAAATGTCAGTGCATAACAATCATTGTCAAAACAATTATTACGGCTAAAAAGTTTTGTTCTACTAATTATTGACGAATTTTTATCAGAATATTTATAGAATATTGAAAAGAAGAAAAGAAACTTCAAATCCGCTGTAGCAAAACGCCTCTGACAACTTTGAACTTGTTCATTTATTTCTGGGATACTCTCAGAATAACGAAAAATGGGAAATCGAACATTTTGTCTGCTCTAATAAATATGGACTGAATTGTTACAATAATAATATGTTTATTCGCTTATTTCGAA